CTGGGAATCTGTTGAGATCTTCCCAATTCTACCCATGTTTTTTGAAGCTAAATACATTGTTTCCACTGGTTTTAACCAATTTAGTAATCTTCAGCGGAGGCATGACCCCTTGGGAATGAAAGAGGATGTTTCACACAGAGGGAAATTTGACCTTGGAATAAATCAGCACTAATGAGTCAGAGAGTCTCACAGCGCCAGGGACCCGGGTTTGATTCCACCCTCGGGCGACTGTCTGTTTGGAGTTTGCACATTCTCCCCGTGTCTATGTGGGTTTCCTCCGGGTGATCCGGTTTCCTCCCACAGTCCAAAGGTGTGCACAGTAGGTGGATTGGCCATGCTAAATTGCCCCTAGTGTTCAGGGATGTGTAGATTAGGTGGGTTAAAGGGTGATGGGTTTGGGTGGATTGCTCTGAGGGTCGGTGTTGACTTAATGGGCCGAAGGGCCTGTTTCCACACTGTAGGGATTCTATGATTTAGATTATAACACTATTCAAAAAGGGATTGGATGAGTAATTTGAATTGAGAATATTAAAAATGGATAATTGCAGGAAAGAAAGACATGTTGCTGAAAATTTTTGTCTTGAAGTCACCAGGACAAGCTGCAAGAATGCCAAATCTCAAACAACCACAACAATTTATACTATTGGAGAAAAGGATGCTGATTGGTCAGCAAGTCACTTCTGATTGGTCAAGGCTTTGCCAAGGAGAAGGCAACGAGGAGATATAGGCTCGTCAAGCCTTGGGTGATCCAATAAATGGATAACCAGTTAGAGGTGAAAAATGAGATAGCATTAGGTAACTGTGGGGAAAATTGATGGGCCAAATGGGCCTCCTTCTGTGGAGTAATTCTTCAACTGGTTCCTCGACTGGGATTGGACAAGGATGAGATTTATTTTTAATCACGTTTACTCTTTTTCCATCTCTTGGACCTCAATTGAGAATCCATGGCCTCACTTTTGTGCGGTCCTCTTCAGTCGCTCCATGTTGCTTTCTCGTTTGATTCTGTTGCGGGACAGCAGGTAGTTCTCTTTCTGCACCGCCTCCCAAGTCATCAGTCTGTTGGCCACGGCCTCCGAGAGGTCTGTTACTGGAATGAAGATGAGACCATTATTGCTTTCTCTCTGAGCTACAGATCAATGGGAATCAAATAATGGGCCTATGACGTGGCCCTCTGCTCAACCAATCAGGCCTGGTCTTAGAGGCTCATTGACGAACAGTTTCAAAATGGCTGCCAATTTCCACTCCCGCTCACTAACCATAACTTGGCAGATTGACGTGATGATGTCATATTGTCCACATGACATCACCACAATGTCCAGAATGACTCTTACCAATTTTTATAGATGCATCATAGAAAGTATCCTATCTAGATCCATCACAGCTTGATATGGCAACTGGTGTGCCCAAGACTACAAGAAATTACAGAGAGTTGTGAACACAGCCCGGTCCATCATGAAAACCAGCCTTCCTTCCATTGACTCTGTCTATACTTCCCACTGCCTTGGGAAAGCAGCCAACATCATCAAAGACCCCTCCCACCCCCTGTTATAATCTCTTCCACCCTCTTCCATCAGGCAGAAGATACAGAAGTTTGAAAACATGTACCAACAGACTGAAGAACAGCTTCTTCCCTGCTGTTATCAGTTTTATGAATGGACCTGTCCTATATTAGAGTTGATCTTTCTCTGCACCTTCTCTGTAGCTGTAACACTATATTCTGCATTCTGTTCTATTACCCTGGTGTACTTATGTAAGGCATAATTTGTCTGGTTAGCAAGCAAAACAATACTTTTCACTGTATCTCGGCACATGTGACAATAATAAACCAAATCATGCCTTATTTTTACTTTGGGGGCAGAAGGGGGAGTGGTGCAGATGCCCAATTTATGGATAGAAGATTTTTTTATTCATTCATGGGATGAGGGCATCGCAGACCAGGCTGCATTTATTGCCCGTCCCTAATTGCCCAGAGGGCTGTTAAGAGTCAACCACATTGCTGTGGGTCTGGAGTCACATGTAGGCCAGACCAAGTAAGGATGGCAGTCTCCTTCCCTAAAGGACATTAGTGAACCAGATGGGTTTTTCCAACAATCAACATTGGATTTGTGGTCATCATTAGATTGTTAATTCCAGATAATAATTGAATTCAAATTCCACCATCTGCCGTGGCAGGATTCGAACCTGGGTCCCCAGGTCATTATCTGAACTCTGTGGATTAACAGTCTAGCGAGAATACCACTAGACCATCACCTCCCCTTTCTTTGATCTAACCCATTGTCATCCCAGATTTGCCTTGAATGTTAAAACCACGTCCTGTTTTCACTTGTCAGAAGCCACTTTTTGGTGGGGATGCAGAGCTGGGGACATCATGGGTGGGCAGTTTGGAGGGGTCAGTAATGAGGATTCCCCCAGACCCGTTAAATTGGAAACTGTTCAGGAGGATCCTGGCATCAGCCTGGGCAATCAGCGCAGCTCAGGGATCAAACGCGAACTATTCTGAGCCCACTTGGGTCTGTCACCCAAGGATTTGTAGCTCTCAATACTAACATTGCCGGCTCGAGACACTCCTACTCATACTCATACTCGCTGGGGCGTGGTCTTACTGAAGAGCCTGCCCTTCACCGTGGGGACTTTTCGTATGTTTCTTTTGATGAAGATGTGGATGTGGCTCAGGATTATGAAGGGAGGAGCCAATGCAGGTCGTTTGTGATACTCCACGACCAGATTGTAGCGTTGGAATTTCCAATAGATGTCACTCTTCTCCTGAACTTTATTGAAGGTGTAACTGGAAAAAAAAACAAGATGGAGGAATGAGGTACATTGAGCCTAGAGAAGAGGAACAGTCAGCCCAACTGGTCCATGCGGGTGGTTTAATGCTCTTCCCAACCTCATCATCATTTTCTTCAATTCCTTTCTATCAGATTCACCTTCGATACTCCCTGTGATAGCAAGGCCTACATTCTCACCGCTCTCTGGGACTGAGATGTTTCTTCTGAATTCCAGTTGGGTCAACTTTACAATCTTTGCCTTTTCCTGGAATTACTATGCTGGAATGAAGCCGCAGAAAAAAAATGTCCTTCCCCCTATAAGTGACTTCATTTATTCTGAGACAGAACTAGATATTAGCCAGAGGGCGTTTGTAGCTGTTTTGTTATTGTCCAGGACCCAGAGGTGCTTTCTCCTAACAAGTAGATCATCTGTTGCCAGTGACAACCTTGCAAAGAGTGATGGGACTTTACAGCACAGAGTGAGGCCACCTCGTGCCTGAGCTAGCTCTCTGAAACAACCGTCAACACAGGAGGGAAGGATGTCATTTCACTCCCTCCTCTACTGACGCACAATGATACAGGATACACTGACAGTACCTCGCAAACTCCCGATCTCTACCGCGCAGTAGATAATTGGGAACACCACCACCCGCAATTACCCCTACAAGCAACGGATCATCCTGACTTAGGGGCATATTGCTGTTGCTTCTGTAGCGCTGGGTCAAAATCCTGGAACTCACTCCTTAACACCGCTCGGGTTGGGCTAACCTTCCACACGCCACAGCAGCGCAAGAACTGACAACGTTCTGAAGGGCGAGTAGGGATGGACAATAAATACCAGCCTAGCCAGGGATGCCCACACCGATGAAAGAATAACAAAGAAGACCTTCAACCCTTTCCTTGCTATTGAATTCCATCAGCCTTGCTGTGTGGACAAACTCCTTATACTCACCACTGCCCTATGACCTTTAATACAGCTGGTTAACAAAGACCAATCAATCTTGGATTTAAAATTGACAACTAATCCAGCATCAAGTGCCATTCCAGAAGGGAGTTCCAAATTTCCACCAATCTGTGCACAAAGAAGTTAATTTTCTAAAGGCCTGACTCTACATTTTAGACTATTGCCCTTGTTTGAGAATCCTGAACCAGCTAATGTCATTTTTGTCTACCAGTTCCCATTCGTACCAGGTCCTGACAAAGGAGCAGTGCTCCGAAAGCTTGTGATTTCAAATAAACCTGTTGGGCTATAACCTGGTGTCTTGTGACTTTTGACTCTGTCTACCCCTGGCTGACACCAACACCTCCACATCAGCCTTATCAGCAGTACCCACATTCCATAAAAGAGCAAAAAAAAAAGAAGCTAGTAGCCAGCTGATCTGAGATAATATTCCAGGGACTGGCCCATCATATGATACAATTAAAAAAAAACAAAGATCCGTGGATGCTGGAAATCAGAAACAAAAAAGAAATTGCTGGAGAAACTCAGCAGGTCTGGCAAACTCTGCGGAGAGAAAGCAGGTAACATTTCAAGTCCAGTGACCATTCTTCAGAACTGATGGCATCTAGGAAAAGAACATAAGAACATAAGAACCAGGAGCAGGCATAGGCCATCTGGCCCGTTGAGCCTGCTCTGCTATTCAAAAAGATCGTGGTTGATCTTTTTGTGGACTCTGCTTCACTTACCTGCCCGCTCACCATAACCCTTAATTCCTTAACTGTTCAAAAATCTATCTATCTCTGCCTTAAAAAACATTCAACAAGTTAGCCTCAACTGCTTCACTGGGCAGGGAATTCCATAGATTCATAAAACTTTAGGTGAAGAAGTTTCTCCTCAACTCAGTCCTAAACCTGCTGCCTCTTATTTTGAGGCTATGCCCCTTAGTTCCAGTTTCATCTGCCAGTGGAAACAACCTCCCTGCTTCTATCTAATCTATTCCCTTCATAATTGTATATGTTTCTATAAGATCACCCCTCATTCTTCTAAATTCCAATAAGTATTGTCCCAGTCTACTCAATCGCTCCTCATATGCCAATCCTCTCAACTCTGGAATCAACCTAATTTACCTCCTCTGCACCCTCTCCAGTGCCAATACATCCTTTCTCAAGTAAGGAGACTAAGTACTGTACACATAACACATATGCTGCAGCAGAACCTCCCTGTTTTTAAACTCCATTCCTCTAGCAATGAAGGACGATATTCCATTTGCCTTCTTAATCACTTGCTGAACCTGCAAACCAACTTTTTATTGGTTGGCATATATGCTAAAGATGGGATGGGGTGGGGAGACAGGAGTAAACAATAGATGTGGATATGATCAGTTTGGTTCTCTTTGAGATCTTTTATTCCAAGAACAGGAATATATTTTCAGCTCGTGTTATGACTGGCACTAATCTAACTACATTCAATGGCCATCTCTCAATACCATGGGTGACTGAGTAACTTAAAGCATGAACTGGATAGTGAGAGCCTATAAACATGTGTGAGCACAGGCTGGTGAAAATGGCAGCTCGCTTTTGTTGAAGAGCCTTGGTAAATCCGTTGTGTTTTCAACTATAACCTGATAGCTTCATGGTCATGTTTATCGATGCTCGTTGTCCTTTAATGTTCAGGTTCTTCAAACTGAAATTCAGATTATCAAAATGCCTTGGTGGGATTTCGACTTGAGGTTCTTGGATGATTCATTTTGTAATGTAAGTCATGGAGTCTCCATGGTTTACTTACTTAAAAAAAGACTTTTATCTTCGTAGCCCGTACAGTGTGACCTTCCTGAACAAGTTTTACCAATGGGCGACTTGGATCAAGAAATACGAAACAGAAGTCACTCACAGGTTCCCTGTGATATACCCCAACTATTGAACTCCCACAATGATACTGGTCCTCACTAAACAGGTTCAGGACAATATGGGGTCCCTGCACATCCAGCATCTACCACTGGGAGTTCCATACCAGCCCCTTCCACACTTGTGGGGAGACACCTACAATGTTGCACATTACCCAGGAGTGACCCCCTTCCACAGAGTCAGCGGCAACTAATCACCTTAAACACATGTAACTGCAACAGAATAAAAGGGAGCAGGAGTAGGCCATTCGGCCCTTCGAACTGCTCCACCATTCAATATGATTGTGGCTGATCATCCAACTCAGTCCCTTGTTCCCACTTTCTCCCCAATACACTTTGATCCCTTTGGTCCCAAGAACTATGTCACTCTCCCTCTTGAAACATTCAATATTTTGGCCTCAACTGCTTTCTGTGGCAGAGAATTCCACAGGCCCACCACTCTCTGGGTGAAGACATTTCTCCTCATGTCAGTCCTAAATAGCCTACCCTGTATCCTTCGTCCATGAGCCCTGGGTCCAGACTCACCAGTCATCGGGAACATCCTTCCTGCATGTACCCTGTCTAGTTTTGTTAGTAGTTTGGAGGTTTCTATGAGATTCACCCCTCATTTTATTACTTGAAGTGATCGCTTCATTTCGCACATTTGCATTTGCTAATTAAATAATAAATGGAGAACGGCATTGGGTAGCAGTGCTCATGCAAGGTTAGCAAGATAGAGATGTCATGATCCACTAATTACTACATTGCAATAGGCGGAGGCCATTCATCCCCTTGAGTCTCTTCTGTCCACCACTCAGTTTGATCACAGCTGATCTTACTAGCCTTGGTTCCCTCAAATGAAATACCTTTAGTTGATGCCAACTACTTTGGCCCAGATAGGTGTTCAAACCCTATGGGTGAGACTCCAGCTCAATTAAACAGTTACCTGAACATGGCGATGAGCAGATTGACCAACAGGATGTTGGCGATCAGGAGGAAGATGGTCAGCAGCAGGATGACCAACCAGTTGGCATAGGTGTTGGTGCAGGTAGACAGTTCTTCCTCTGAGCCCTTGGTGAGATTATCTGGGCATCTGGAGTGAAAGCGAGTAGCTGCCCAAAACAGAGGAATGGATGATATTTAAGGGTGTACCGTCTTTGGTAGGAAGTAAAGACAGGAATGCGAGGGCAAGGAAGGAACACAGGAACAGGAGTAGGCCATTCAGCCCTTGAGTCTGTTCCACCATGCAATTAGACCGCAGCTGATCAATACCTTAACTATATTTACCTCCCTTGGCTCCAAAAGGCTTCATACTCTCACTGAACAGCACCCTGTCAATTTTCCCTTTGACATTTTCAATTGAACCCCGACAAACCAGGAAAGGGCCAGAGAATCCCAGATTTCTGCCACTCTCTCTATGAGGAAGTGCTTTCTGATGTTACCACTGAACAGCCTGACTCTAAGTTTGAACATTCCGTATTCCCCCAAGCTCCTCCCATCCTGGACTCTCTCATGACTGAGGAGAAAACTTCTTTCTCTTGGTCTTATCACATCCTTAAATCATCTTAAGCACCTTAATTTATACTCAGAGGAGTATGCATGACCAGGCCTCCTAATTTAACCCTTTTAGTGCTGCTAACATTTAGATGAATCTGCAGTGACCCCACCTCCCCCCCACAAGACCAACACCTCACCTCCCCCCACCCAGGTGTGGTACTCAGATCACGACAAATTATCTATGTCACTCCCACCCTTTTACTAAAAGATGTTTACAATGGAAGATGAGGCCATTCAACCCATTGCATCCATACCAGTCACCAAGGGTCTAGGCCCGAAGCGTCAGCCTTTCTGCTCCTCTGATGCTGCTTGGCCTGCTGTGTTCATCCAGCTCTACACCTTGTTATATCAAGGGTCTGACTACATTACTACCATTTTCCAGCTCTTGGCTCATAGGCCATGAGGCTGTGACAATGCAAGTGAATATCTAAATACTGTTTTAATGTTACAAGAATTTCTGACTCAACACCCTTTCAGGCACAGAGTTCCAGACTCCCACCATTCTCTGAATGAAAACCTTTCCTAATTCTCCTCTTAGCGTTCCATCTTTTAGCTTAAATCTATGCGTCTGGTCATTAACCCCTCTACTAATGGAAAAAGTGTCTTCCTATCCATCCTATCTATGCCCCTCATAATCTTGTACATCAGATCCCCTCTCAGCCTTTGCCACTAGTTTGATTTGGGAGTATGGTTGACGTGGACTGGTTGAATCGAAGGATCTGTTTCCGTGTTGTATGACTCTATGACTTAATCCCCATAGCTCAGACCCTCAGGTCCAGGCAGCATCTTGGCAAATCCCTCTCTAGTGCAACTACATCCTTCCTATAATATGGCGACCAGAACTGCTCACTGCACTCCAGTCATGGTATAATCAGTGTTTTATACAGTTCCAGCATAACTGCTCTTGTGCTGCAAGTCTTGGCTAATAAAGGTAGACATCCCATTCACATTCACAGCACCTGATCTACCTTCCCATCAGGGATCTGTGGATATTCACACTTAGACCCTCAGAACTTCCTAAGGGTCCTACCATTCATGGTGTAATCTTTGCCTTGATGGCCCTCTCCAAGTGAACTACCTCACACTTTTCCAGATTGAATTCCATTTACCACTGCTCTGCCTGCCTCACCAGTCCATTCACATCCTCCGAAACTTTACAGCTATCCTCCTCAGTACTTGCCACCCCAACAATTTTCATACCATCTGCAAATCTTTTAATCATACGCCTATAATCATCCGTGTACACAATAAAGAGCCAGGGCCCCCAGCACCAAGTCCTTCACAGCCCATTGGAAAGAGGTTTCCAATCACAGATACATCCCTGCACTGGGACCCTCTGACAGCGGTTCACAGTCTAGCCCCCTTGAGTTAACCCTCCATTTAAGGTCACTAGGCTTTAGGCTGCAAATGGATTCACACATTAACTGTGATGTTGGACTGAATGGCTTTCTCTTGTGCTCTCTGATTATTAGATGCTCTGATTGACAGACACGTCCATTAACACAGATACAGCTCACATGAAAGTGCACACATACGTGTAACTTGACAAATACAGCTACACCCACCCACACAGATACATAAAATAGAAACCCTACAGTATGGAAGCAGGCCGTTCAGCCCATCAGGTCAGCACTGACCCTCTGAAGACCATCCCACCCAGATCCACCCCATCCCTGTAACCCTGCATCTCCCATGGCTAAGCCACCGAACCTACACTGGACACTATGTTCAATTTAGCGTGGCCAACCCACCATAACCTGCACATCTTTGGACTGAGAGGAAACTGGAGCACCTGACAGAAACACAGGGAGAACGTGCAAACTCCACACAGACAGTCGCCGAAGCCTGGAATCAAACCCAGGTCCCTGGTGCTGTAAGGCAACAGCGCTAACTACCGAGCTACTGTGCTCCCCACACACCCACCAACATTCCTGAATTGGAACTACATTGGCCATTTCTTCACTGTCACTGGTTTAAAATCCTGGAACTCTTCCCCAACACCCCCCCCCCCCCCCCCCCCCACCCCCCCCCCCTCCCCCCCTGGTCCACCCCACTCTAACAGCACTGTGGGACTTTTTTGCCCAATGGACACTGAGTGCCCATTGCATCAAGTGCCCACACGGACTGCAGAAGTTCCAAAAGGCACTGCCCACCAGTTTCTCAAAGGCAATCAGGGATGGCCAGTAAGTGCTCATGTCCTTATCCCATTAAAATGAATAAGAAGGAAAACACTACACTCACTCACACCTGCTAACATGGATACAGAACATATACCGGACAGCACAAAAACAGCATCTCATTTCCACTTGGGGAGCCCGCACTGAGTTTAATTGTGTTAGAACACAAACACCTTCTTCCATGTCCTTTACCCACCCCCGCGTACCGGGCCCTGTCACATCAATACAGCCGATCCATTTCTACCCACTCATATCCCCCATTATCCACATTGCTTTTTCCCTTGACTTACTATTATCCATCCCTTTGTCTGCATCACCGTCTTTCTCTCTCTCTGGGCTTTATCTCCACCCATCACTTACTCCTTTACCACGCACAGACACAGACCCACGCACACACACAAACACACAGAGTCTTCAGCGCATATACCACCTTCGCCAAGGTACCATCAGTTCAGAAAAGTCACTAGACTTGTAACATTAAATCGGTTTCTCTCTTTACAGCCACTGCCAGACCTGCTGAACTTCTCCAGTGCTTTCTGCTTATGTTACACAAACAGGCCATTTAGCCTATCAAGTCTGTGCTGGTGATTCTACCCCATATCAGCCTCGTCGCACCATCTTCATCTCAACCTATCAGCTTACCTCTTACCTGTGTTTATCAGCTCATCACCACTGAACCCTACTGGGAAAAATACCTCTGCTTTGTACCTCCATTAATTATGAGTTTCACATTCTGCCAACTCTCTGATTATAGAGGTTTCTCCTGAATTTCTTTAGGGATTGATTAATGATTATCACATATTTACAGTCACTAGCTCTGGTCTCCACACCATATTCCATTGGTCACACCTGACAAGGCGACACCAATCCCTTACCGTCCAGTTCATCGAGTGGGATCTGCCCGAAGATCTGCAGGTAGGGCCGGTAGAACACCCTGCGGAAAATCCAACTGGCACGGGACTCAGTGTGATATAGGAGGCCTTGGGTGGCTACTCCATACGCCATCAACCAGACTCCCAGGAAGAATAGAAAGAAGAACACATCTTTGATCTGGAAAGATTATTCAAAGCATTTGATCAACAAGTAAATCCCAACACCTCTCGCTGTAACACCCTCCGATATACCCCACACCTGTCGCTGTAACACTCTGTCTGACATACCCCACACCTCTCACTGTAACACTCTGTCTGACATACCCCACACCCCTCACTGTAACACTCTCCGATATACCCCACACCTCTCGCTGTAACACTCTGTCTGACATACCCCACACCCCTCACTGTAACACTCTCGATATACCCCACACCTCTCGCTGTAACACTCTGTCTGACATAGCCCACACCCCTCACTGTAACACTCTCCGATATACCCCACACCTCTCGCTGTAACACTCTCCGATATACCCCACACCTCTCGCTGTAACACTCTCCGATATACCCCACACCTCTCGCTGTAACACTCTGTCTGACATACCCCACACGCCTCACTGTAACACTCTCCGATATACCCCACACCCCTCACTGTAACACTCTGTCTGACATACCCCACACCTCTCACTGTAACACTCTGTCTGACATACCCCACACCTCTCGCTGTAACAATCTCCGATATACCCCACACCTCTCGCTGTAACACTCTGTCTGATATACCCCACAACTCTCGTTGTAACAATCTCCGATATACCCCATACCTCTCGCTGTAACACTCTGTCTGACATACCCCACAACTCTCGCTGTAACACTCTGTCTGACATACCCCACACCTCTCGCTGTAACACTCTCTGATATACTCCACACCCCTCACTGTAACACTCTCCGATATATCCCACACCTCTCGCTGTAACACTCTCCGATATACCCCACACCTCTTGCTGTAACACTCTCCGATATACCCCACACCTCTCGCTGTGACACTCTCCGATATACCCCACACCTCTCGCTGTAACACTCTGTCTGACATACCCCACACCTCTCGCTGTAACACTCTGTCTGACATACCCCACACCTCTCGCTGTAACACTCTGCCTGACATACCCCACACCTCTCGCTGTAACACTCTCTGGTATACCCCACACCCCTCGCTGTAACACTCTCCGATATACCCCACACCTCTCACTGTAACACTCTG